ATATATTAAAAATATATATATATACTTTTACAAATTCACAACACGGTGCTGTGCCTGTCTGTTCCACTCTAATATGGTTTTAGTGGGATAAACATACACGTTTTCGTACGGGATAAAAGTTACAAAAATATATCGTATATATTAATTCCAAATAGTTTTAACGTAAATAAAATTTGTGGCCCCACAAAATAAAAAACTATTTGATCTTACTGAAACTTTCCGTTTGATTCTCTTTTAAAATTATGATTTCAATTTAAAAAATTTAATATTTTTTTTTAAAACTCATAATTAAACATACAATTCAAAATTTAATTTAAAAATTATTTTCAAAACTCATAACTAAACACATAATTCAAAATTCTTTTCGAAATTTAAAATTAGGATTGCGCATAGAGTTATCCGAACCGTATAACCCGTCCAACTCGAACAGATCCGTATACAAATAGGCGGTTTTGCAGACACAATACGTGTAGATGCAGTTTGAAATATGACATTATTGCGGATTATGGATTTTATCTGCACCCGGAAGAACCCGCCCATACTTAGATTTTTTTTTTTTTATTTTTTATGATGGAGTTTGCGAGTTTGCAAATGTTTTTATTTTATTTAATGAGTTTGAATTGGATGAAATTTGACAACAATTTATTATTATTTTGTTATTACATTTTGGATGAATGAAAAAGTTAATGAAGAATTACTTTTAGGTAAGTTTAAGATTTTGAATGATTTTAGTTTAATTGTATTGTTAAGTAGTGAATGATTTAGTTTGGGATTTTGAAAGATGTGCTTGTGTTAGTTTAAAAGTTTAAGATTTTAAATGGTTTACTTGTGTTAAGAATTGATTTTGTTGTGTTTTTAAATTTATAAGTTTTAATTCATTAATTATTAATGTCGAGCATTTTAGAAAATGGAGGGAAGTGGCCCAAAATAAATATTTACAAAATCCGGAAAAAAAAAGAGGCTCAAAAATAAAAAAAGATAAAAAAAAATCCAATCCGCAAACCACTCGTAACAGCCCGCATATCAGCGAACCCACCCGTAACCGCCTGCAAATCAACGAACCCTATCCGTACAAACCACAACCTGCACTGCGGGCGGTTGTAGATTCAATTTTTTCCAAACCGCAAATATGCAAGCGAATCCAAACCACAAACCGAACCGTCTAAAACCAAATTGCGAGCACCTCTACTCAAAACCAAACTCTTTTCAAAATTCTAATTAAAAAAAAAATTAATTTTTTTTTTATTTTTTAAAATTATTTTTAGAATCATGATTTGAGTGTAGAGTCGTGTTCTGAGTCATTAGTTTTGAAAAGAGAAAATTTATTTGGTTATGAGTTTTGAAAAGAGTTTGAGTTGTATTTTGAGTTTTTTTTGAGTTTAAAAATATTAAAATTAAAGAAATTAAAATTTTGGTAAATTACAAATACACCCTCTAAAGTTTGCTTAAAGTACAGATTTTTCTTTGTTATTTGAAAAATTACAAATACCTCATCGTTAAAATTTTTTATTTAACATAATTAATTTTAAAAAAAAAAGAAATTCATAAATGCTCACCTATACAATAATAATAAAATGGGCAAATTACATATACACCCCTCCAGGTTTGGTTAAATTACAGATACCCCCTGAGGTTTCGGAAATTACATCCCGCCCCCTGAGGTTTGTATTTTCATAACAATTTACCCCCTGAGGTTTATATTTCATAACAAATTACCCCCTAATTTCTTATGCAAATATAGCATTCAGGGGGGAATTCGTAATTTCTCAAACCTCAGGGGGGTATCTGTAATTTTGTCAAACCTGGAGGGGTGTATATGTAATTTGCCCTAATAAAATTACCTAATTTTAATTGAAACATATTTATAATATCATTAAAACTGTTAATTGAATTGAGATTTGCTGATCAAATGGGTAATTTGTTATGAAATTAGAAATATCAGGAGGTGTAATGTAATTTCCAGAATCACAGGAGATGATTTATATTTTAATCAAATCTCAGGGGGTGTATTTGTAATTTATCCTTAAAATATTTACAAAATAAAATAAATATTTAAAATAAAAATTATATATTTAAAATAAATAATAATAATTTTCTTAATTTTTTTAATATTTAAAAAAATAAATCTAAAAAATTTCAAAATATAACTCAAAATTCAAAACTCAAATTTTTTTTCAAAATTCAAAAACTTTTTCTAAAACTAATAACCAAATAAATTTTTTATTTTTAAAACTCAACTCATAATTTTATACTTAAATTACGATTTCATATTCAAATCATAATTACAGAACTAAACCAAGCAGAGACTTATGGGTGTTTATGGAGTTGTATTTTGATTTTAAAATATTGAAATTAACATATTTACAAAATTAAATAAAAATATTTAAATAAAAATTATATATTTAAAAAAATTAAATTATATATTTATAAAAATTAATATTTTCTTAAACATTTTTTAATATTTAAAAAAATAAATCTAAAAAATTTCAAAATATAACTCAAAATTCAAAAATTCAAAACTCAAATTTTTTTTCAAAATTCAAGAACTTTTTCTAAAACTAATAACCAAATAAATTTTTTATTTTTAAAACTCAACTCATAATTTTGTTTACGATTTCATATTCAAATCATAATTACATAACTAAACCAAGCAGAGACTTATGGGTGTTTGGGAAGTTGTTATTTTATTAGGTTATTTTAATTTTTAATTATTTTAGTAGGTTAAAAATTTTGTATTTGAGAAGATAGTTAGATTTTTTTGTAATTAGATGTGATATTTGTGAAAGAAAAAATAAAATAATTATAAATTTGATGTGACATTTTGTCTTATTAACTATTTTAACCTATTTTATCATTTTATAAATTTTAGCCAAAAAATAACCCAATCCCAGCTTGCCAAACACTCCCTTCGTGTATCAACCTGGGACGACTCAATGCAAATAAAACAAACTGGAATGGACAAGTCTTGGCCACCAAGTAAACCTTCCACAAGCTATCATCCATGCTGGCATCACCAATTACATCTTCCCACGCGTCATTACAAACAATTAAAATAATAATAATAATAATAAATGAGCCACGTCATCGTATCTATCCTTTTTTTTTTCCAGAACATGAGAAGTTGTCATAAAAGCTTCCCAGAGAGGTTACTTAGTCCCCAAGGTGTTTTCCAAAAAAAACAAACAAACCAAACCCACTATAAAACAAAAAAACAAAAACAAAAACAAGAACAAAAACAAGAAAACAAAAGAGAGCATACAAGTTTCTAACCCACAAACTAGTCAAATCAAAAAAGAAATCCCATATCATCATCATTGAAAAGGACGTTCAAGAAACAAAAACAAAAGTCTACATTGGAAAGCGCATGTTGTCTGAGGTTGTTTACAAGTAAGTTTCTCTGTTCTTGAGCTTATCATATATGTTTCAGCATTTAAAAAACCTCAAAAACTGGTCTATTTTTCTGTAATTGTTGTTGTTGAAGTTTCTCTGTTTTTGAGCTTGTCAAAGCGCATGTTGTCTGAGGTTGTTTACAAGTAAGTTTCTCTGTTCTTGAGCTTATCATATATGTTTCAGCATTGAAAAAACCTCAAAAACTGGTCTCTTTTTCTGTAATTGTTGTTGTTGAAGCTTCTCTGTTTTTGAGCTTATCATATACGTTTCATCATTGAAAAAACCTCAAAAACTGATCTCTTTTTCTGTAAATTGTTGTTGTTGTTGTATGATTTACAAAACCCAGAGTCTTAATTTTACTCTGTATGGATGAATTTGAGAGCAGAAAACAGCGTAAAAGGCGGCGCAATGCTTTTGAATCGATAGAACAGACTCTGCTGGAGTGGAAGAACAATCGCAGCCAAAACCAATCGAATTCCAGCGAAGAAATCGAAGCGAAACGGAGAAGAAAGTTTCCGGTAAAGGGATTGAGAAAGGGTTGTATGCAAGGGAAAGGAGGGCCAGAGAATCTGGGCTGCGTGTACAGAGGAGTGAGGCAGAGGACTTGGGGAAAGTGGGTTGCAGAGATTAGAGAACCAATTTGCAAAACTAGGAAGCCGAGACGACTATGGTTGGGAACTTTCTCTACTGCTGTTGATGCTGCACTTTCTTATGATAAGGCTGCAAGAGTGTTGTATGGCTCTGATGCTATACTAAATTTTCCCAGCAGCCAAACAGACTTGATCACTAAAAGTACCACAATGTTGGGTAATTGTGTGGTGGATGAGGAAGAGAAGGTAGTTAAGCAGGAGTGTTCTGATGCTATGCTTAGTTTTCCCGGCAACCAAACAGAGAGAATGGAATTGTCAAAGGAATTGGATTCGATCACCAAAAGTACAGTATCCGAGCCTGATAACGAAATGTTGATTAAGTTAGAGGATAAAATGTCTGAGGACTCCAAGATTTCTGAGGATTGTGAAACTGAGGAATTGAAGGTGGTTAAGATTGAGGTTACCGTGAAAGAATTCAAGCCAATTATTGAAGTTGTGACGCCTACAAAGAGTGAAATAGCAAAAGAAAAAATTGCAGAAACTACTCGAGAGAGCGAATCATGTAGTATTGAAGATGACAACAATGTCGAACATGGTTGCCTTCAGCATGTGAAAGAGGAAACAGTAATAACTGATTTCGAGCCTTCAAGACCAATTGGCAGTGATGAATTTGAACCGGGACAAGATGGAAAATGTCATTCTGGTAAAATTAGGTCCTATGATGAAGGCAAACTGCAATGTGAGATGCCATCGGACGACTCCTATCGCTTGCAGGACCTGAAAGAAAATTGCTTTTCAACAGATGAGACATCGGATACCAAAACTTTTGGTGCTACTATGGTTAGACAAGATTGGTTATGTGGGTCTGATCACTTTAATTACTGTTATGATCCTATGATATTCAAAGAGCAACTTCATTACTTGGAGACATTTTTAATGGAAGATAAGTTTGAGAGCCAGCCTCAATGGCCTAATTCCCCATTGGAGAACGGCAATGAATGTGAATTCTTTGGAAATTGGTTAACAGATGAATCGGGTGGCACTGAACTTTCGCAGGTAGATAGCAAAGATGGATCTAAAGAAGGAATCAGAGATTTTGATTACTGGTCTCAAAGTCCAGAAGCCCAAAATTACATGTGTAATTATGAGCCAAACTCTGAATTGCAACAAGAAAGAAAATTTGATGATTTTGGTCCATATGTGTTTTTGAGTGATAGCAAGTTGCAACGCAAAAGGCCTCATGGTGTTGCCTATGAGTTTTCGCATAGCCAAGGCACGAAGCATTCAGATAATGTGGTGGAGACACTGACAACTGAAGAATACAATTGCGATTGCGATTTCTTGAATGTCGATCTTATTGAGGATTATGGATTGCTTGATTAATTCAGAACCTTGATTTGGTGACGGATTATCACAGCAGATATTTCAAATAGGAGAGTGAAAGATGCATTCAATGGAGATTCATGAAATATAGCCGCATGGAAAAGCTGCACATCTTCACTTGATCCACAATTGATACAGATATAGATATTGTTAATAGGTTTAGAGATTTGTAGTCAAGTTATTTTGATTTCTCAATTATGGTTGTCCATTGATTTAGTGACCTAGTAAAAAAAAAAACTGGAGCTCCATTTATTCTTGTGAATGGAGCTAATATCATTGTTTTGTCAATTAGTGAGAAATATTTAAATTTTGTATAGTTTGTGCTTTTTAGTGAAGTCATTTTTCGCTTGTAAATTATGATTTTGTCTATTAAGTTGGTGACCAAGTCATTTTTGTATTAATTTTTATGCTCAAAATTTTCTCATGAATGGTGTTATTAATTATTACTCTGAAACACGGTTTGTTTTGTTTTCCTGCTTTTGGTTTTGTGTTTTCTGGTTTCTTTGCAAGGGTTCGTTGCTGGTGCTAGTAGCGGTGTTGGGTACTTGCTTTCTTACTTATCGGTGTCGCTTGGGTATGGTTTTGCCTTGTGGTAGCCATTATTCTATTAGCTGTCAACTCTGATGGTCTTGGGGTTGTGCCTTAGTTCTGGTGGTCATTTTGTCTTTGCCTTAAGTTTTGTAAGGCTACTGTGTTATTTCTTTCTATATTAATTAATGAATGATGTTCTTTCATGTGGGGGTGAGAAGAAGGAACACAAAAATGCATAGGATTTTTATATTAAGTTGACAACCAAAGCAAAAGTTAAAGCAGAAATGTTATGTAGTGTAGAAAGTTGATGGGGGAAAATATGTAGTAGTCTGTTGAGTATGGAGTCCATGACTAGCTATGAAGGGATAGTTTGGGAAGTTGGTTTTGGTGGGTTAGGGGCTAAAATAGCCACAAAAAATAAAATAGGTTATTTTAGTCATAAAAAACAAAATATCAAATCCAACCCATAATCAATACGCTCCTCTCTCACAAAAAAAGTTAAAAAAATTAAAAAGTCAAAAAGCTCTTCCCAAACCAAACTTTTTAGCCCCAGGCTAAAATAGCCTAAAAGTCAAAAAGTCAAAAAAACCAACTCACTTTCCAAACGGAGTCGAAAGCGAGCACATATATCTAAAAGTTGTCATAGTTGGAGATTCTTTCTAGAACTAGTTGGGTATATTTGTTGGCATCGCAGAACACTATTAGAATTGGAGCCTCGTAGAAGCTGTGTTGTGTAAGAGCTTCTGCGATAACAATGCCAACTGCTTTACCAAGGAAGTCGGCATAGGGAGTTTCTTGCTTTGGTAGGCAACTACATCTCAATAAACAACCAAAATGCAACCAAAACCTTCATTAGATAGATGAAGAAGAAATTATTGGAGAAAAATGGTTGAATAAGAAATTACCTCATAAATATGTATATAACTTATATATTTAAGGCTCATTAGTTTTACAAAATTAATTGGGTAGTATTGCTAGCATTAGTTGCCAGCCTTGATGGCTAGAGACTCCTCCCCTCTCCCTCATGGTGTATAAAAGGAGGCTCTATTCCTTGAAAAGATATATAGAATTTTTCCTTGACATCCATACACTGTCAGTCTACTTCTCCTATAATTTTCTTCCTGAGAGAGAGTGCTGTCGTTGTCCGTTCGCTAAGCTAATCAGAAGGTGCTTTTGTTGTAACTGGTAAAAACCGTCGTATTCTGGGAAGTAGACGCCGGCGTACTTCCAGCACCCAACGGTGAGGCGGCAAATCTATTTTAAGGAGACTGTGGTATCACACAGGTTTCGGTTTATTTCCTTTAACCATTTTATATTTTATCTGTATTTTATTCAGCATGTTATTTTTCTTGGGATTGAAGGTTTGTTTTGTTCATCTCATAATTTTGCAATATGCAATGTGAAATTATGTAATGTGAGTAGTTTTTCCCAACAAGCTTAAAATAGATTCGACGTTTATTATAGAATTAGATTAATAGATTCATTGGTGTGTGTAATAATTTTGCATGTAATTGGCCACTGGTAGTACTAGCGAGTTAATTGGTTTATTAGATGCATGTACACAGGGTTAAGCTTTTGATTTTGCCATTTTGTGTATGCTACTGTTTGGTCTTCCCATGGCATGGAATAGGCCACTGTTATCAATAGGGAAGAAGAGTTCCATTGGTGCAACGTTAATTCACTGTATTTTCTAATTAATTTATTAATCTATGGTGTACCGATTCATGCCTTGTATTTCTAGATTTGCATGCTTCTAGTTCACATGTTTCTAGTTTACAATATAAATTACATGTTCATTCGGGTTTAATTTTTAGTGTAATTTACATTTCTTGCATGTTTATTCGGTAGTAAATTTTCATGTAACTTGTACCTATTAATCATTAATTTAGGTGTGGAGTTGTAAAATTTATAACTTGTCTATATTTAAATTCATGTTAATTTCTCTAGAATTATTTGCATGTTAATCATGTCATTTGCAATTCTTGCCTAGTAATGTGACTTAAGTATTTAGGAGTTATAAAATGTTTGTAACTTACCTCAATTAATTACATGTTTAGTGTACCATAAGTTCATATATAACCTTTACCAATTTAAAATATGGTTTAATTATATTTAATTTAGGTCCGTAACTTATATAGTTAATTACATGTTTTTTATGTAATTAATTTTTTACAGTTTTTTTTTGTTTAAATTCTAGATGTGTAACTTAAGGGTTGGTTTTTAATATTTACTTATAGTTATTTATTAGTTTGTTTGCTAGTACCCTCCCCTTCAATCACTGCTTTGCCAAAAGTAAAGAAAAGCTAAGGGAGGTTTTGTTGTATTTTGCTGCTAACTCTTTATTGCATGAATACCTATGGAAATGAGAAAAAATGATTAATTTGGACTAAATATTTGAAGCAATTGTTTGCTTGAGTGTTCATTTGTGGTTATTCACCAATATATAAAGCACGTTTTATTTGCTTGTAATTATTGTAGCAATTTTGTTATAATTGCTTGTACAGTTTGGAACTTGGTGTGTTTAACCTAGTTCATCCCTTGGAAAATTTAATTCTTAAAGTTGTTTCCCATGGACTAGGAGTCAACATACTCTTGAAAGTTTTGTCTAAGGTTAACTGGATTTTAAGTGGGACTGGTGTGACCCCTCCAGTCTTCCTGGAAACTTTCCTGACCATGTTCGATTCTAGATTGCGTGGTGAGACTAGCTTTGAATTAAATTTCCAATTGTGGGATTTTCTAGTGTTAAGTTTGATTTCTGGAAATACAGAATAGTGAAAATTCTGCTGTAATTTTTCAGAAATGGCAACTGTCTCTAATGCTGCTACTGCTGCTACTAATGTTGGTGGGGATCCGAACCCCGGGGCGACTGGCTTGCCAACCCCTGCTGTGACCTCTGTGGTCAATCCTCCTGTTGTTACTCCGGCTGTTCTGGGAGGACCGCTCAATCATCATGAGCGCCCGAAGAAGTTCACGGGAGTGGATTTCAAGAGATGGCAGCAGAAGATGGTGTTTTATTTGACTACTCTAAGCCTTGCGAGGTTTTTGAGTGAAGATGTACCAGCCGTAGAGGAGAATGGGCAAGATAAACAAAAACTCATGGCTCTGGACGCTTAGAAACAAGCAAACTTCTTATGCCGGAATTACATTCTGAACGGCTTGGCGGATCCGCTTTTCAACATGTTCTATGCCAAGAAATCGGCTAAGGAGTTGTGGGATGCCTTGGACAAAAAGTACAAGACCGAGGATGCTGGGGTAAAGAAATTTATCGTCGGCCGGTTCCTGGACTTCAAGATGGTGGACTCTAAAACTGTCCTGAGTCAAGTCCAAGAGTTCCAAGTGATTCTGCACGAGACACATGCAGAAGGGATGGTCCTAAGTGAGTCATTCCAGGCAACTGCTTTAATTGAGAAGCTGCCTAACGGCTGAAAAGACTTCAAGAACTACTTGAAGCACAAACGAAAGGAGATGACAGTCGAAGAGCTCGTTGTCAGGCTCCAAATTGAAGAGGACAACAGGAAGAAATGAGGGAGTACCTCCACTGTCAAAGCCAACATGGTTAAGCATGGCGAGTCCTCGGGGGCGAGGAAAAAACCACTGACAGGCAAAAGCTCAAAGTTGGGGGCTAGAGGAGGAATCTCCAAAAGGCCAGCCTACAAGCCAAAGGAGCCTACTTTTAGGTTCGATGGCAAATGCTTCAACTGTGGAAGTGACGGGCATCGGGCAATTGATTGTCTGAAGAAGAAACCCTATAGGAAAAACCCTCCCCAACACAAAAACCGGCACATATGGCTGAAATTGAGGAATTGTCACACGATGTGGACGACTTGCATCTGTCAGCCGTCGTGTCAGAAGTGAACATGGTGGGGTCAAACCCGAGGGAGTGATGGGTGGACACTGGGGCCACTCGCCATATTTGTGCAGAGAAGAGAATGTTCACAACTTTCGAACCTGTTTCAAACGGGAAGAAGTTGTTTATGGGAAACTCTGCAACCTCAGCTGTTGAGGGTAAAGGCAAGGTGATCCTGAAGATGACTTCAGGAAAAGAACTGACTTTGAACGATGTCCTTTTTGTGCCGGACATTCGTAAGAACGTTGTCTCGGGGTCTCTCCTAAGCAACCATGGCTTCCGCATGGTGTTTGAATCAGACAAGATCGTGTTGACCAACGGCGGGGTCTATGTGGGGAAGGGATATATGTCAGGTGGTATGTTTAAATTGAATGTAATGACACTTATCCCTAAGATTAATGAGAAAGTTTCTTCTTCTGCTTATATGCTTGAGTCCCCTAATTTATGGCATGTTAGATTGGGTCATGTAAATTTTGACTCTTTACGTAGATTAATCAAGTTAGATCACATACCATCTTTCAAGATTAATCCACAACACAAGTGTGAAACTTGTGTAGAAGCAAAATTGACAAGGTCTTCTTTTCATTCTATTGAAAGAAGTACCCAGCCTTTGGGTTTAATGCATTGTGATGTGTGTGACTTGAAAGTTGTACAATCACGTGGTGGCAACAAGTACTTCATCACCTTTGTTGATGATTGCACTAAATACTGTTATGTGTATTTACTTAAAAGCAAAGACGAGGCTATTGATAAATTTATTCTTTTTAAGAATGAAGTTGAGAATCAATTAAGCCGGAAAATCAAGGCATTGAGAAGTGATCGTGGTGGTGAGTATGAATCCCCGTTTGCCGAGACTTGTGCTCAATTTGGGATTATTCACCAAACCACAGCGCCTTATTCGCCTCAGTCAAATGGTGTTGCTGAACGGAAGAACAGGACGCTGAAAGAGATGATGAATGCAATGTTGATAAGTTCTGGGTTGCCACAGAACTTATGGGGGGAAGCAATTCTCTCCGCAAATTATATTCTTAATAGAATACCACGGAAGAAAGTGGACAAGACTCCATATGAGTTGTGGAAAGGTCACAAGCCTTCATATAAATACCTACGAATGTCGGGGTGTCATGCAAAAGTGGTGGTACCTACACCCAAGCGGGTTAGGATAGGTCCGAAAACCGTGGACTATATTTTCATTGGTTATACATAAAATAGTAGTGCATATAGATTTCTTGTGCACAAGTTTGATATTTCAAATATACACAAGAATACTATCATGGAATCTAGAAGTGCATCTTTCTTTAAAGATGTATTTCCGTGTCGTCCCCAAGACAGGGTTTCGAGTTCCATGAAAGAAATAGATGATTACGAAGACGATCACATAGATGATCACATGGATGATCAAACAGCTGATCAAATAACTGATCAAGTAGATGATCAAGCTGATGAAGTAGATGAGCCAAGAAGGAGTAAAAGGGCTAAAACCATAAAGTCTTTTGGTCCAGACTTCTTGACTTATATGTTAGAGGGAGAACTGTCACGACCCAAACCCGGCCCTATGGGTTTAGCACCGTAACCGGCCAGTAATCCAAGATTACCGAAGGCCTGCAGAACAGTAACACAGTAAAACAGAGTACAGGGCCTGGCGGAAGCCAAGACAGTAAATAAATAATGTCCATTGAGCTGTGACAGTCTGTATGCCAAAAAGATTTTTCATGCATTCGCATATACAAGCAGTACAGTCTATTACAAGCATTTACAGACATTCAGTACAGGGATCTAATCCCTTGATAACAGTACAGTACAGTGGATAACAGTCTATACAGTAATACAAAACACTGAACAAGCACGGAAGAATACCATTGTAGGATGCGCAACAAGATGCAAGCCTAACCAATTTCCTAATATAAGAGCAACTCCAACCACATTCTCTACTTTTCACTAACTAAAGTACAAAAAAAGTAAACTATTTATTTTACCTAATTATTTTAGCTATTGTGTTCTCCAACCACGCTCTTTATTTTAGTTAATCATTTAAACTAACTTAATTAATTTTTAAAATAAAAAAATACTAATTGTTGATATTTTACTAATATAAATTTGCAATAATAATAAATTTGCCCATACAAACATACAAAACCTATAGAATGAGGAGAAAAAAAAATATAAAATACAAAATAAGTTATTCCATAATTCATCAAACAGAATTGAAAGAACATATAAAATTGCTACACACACACATATATATAAAATATATAAAATCCCAAATCCAAGACATAAATATACAAAACTCTAAAATATATACATACATAATTGCTTGGAGAGCCTCTGGGGCTCTTCAATTGTAACCACCAAAAAAATAGGATGGTAAAGTAACTAGCCCAATAGCTAGCCCATTGGAGCTCAAAATTAGACTTACATTGGCCAAAATGCCTAACAAGCCTTGTTTAACTATCCCTTTGGAGATGCTCTAAGGATAGGACTATTAGTTACAAGTTCTATTATTAAAGTATTTCGTACAGTCAATAGAGATAAATATTCAGAGAATAATTAATCAAACAGTACAGTCCAAATAGGATTCTGAAAGTAAATTAATGTCAATATAGCAAAACTCAAGAATCAAATATAGAGACTAGAGGCATGTAGAATTGTCAAACCTGTTGGTACTTATTCTCAAGTGAGATAATTTGATCAGTGAAGTCCAGACCAGTTTCATTCGCCATCTTTTGTACCTGCAACCAAACAAAAATATAATCTTGGGGCAAACTCTTACATGTTCTCTATTCATAACAAATTACATTTGTCAAAAGGGCGTACGTCAATTATCTTCTTTTGTAGAGCCATTAGAGGCTTCTCAAATTCCAAAGTAACTGGCTTTTGCTTCTCCTTCAGAGGCTTGAAATGCGAAAGATGACTGAGGACTCCACCCTTCACATTAGGATCTGCATCATCTGGCCACGGATACTCGTGCTTCTTTCCCTTTCTAACCTTCGCAGAGACCGTAAAATCCCTCCTTGTTGCGCCTAACCGTGCCCTCCCTAGGGCTTTCAAAGGCACACCAGTAACACCATTAATTGAGCTATGAAGATGATCCAAAGCTGAAGTCCCAGATGCCAGGTTTCCAGTAAATGTTACCGGTGAATGAGAAAGTGAAGCCATTCTCCAAATCCGGACTAATTCCACCAAACAGATCTTCAATTATATATATATATATATTTCTTAAAATATTTTTAAAAATTTATTAAAAACAAAAAAAATATATAAAAAATAAAAAAAAATCAATTTTCAAAAAAAAAAAAAAAAAAAAAAACAAGTGCAATTGGAAACTTGGCAATTGCAAAACAAAACAGCAATACTCATGCCAAAAAATAAAATAAAATAAAATAAAGAAAAAAAAAATGGAAACTTGGCAAATAGAACTCAACAACCCAAATATATTCCAAACACATGTAAGTAGAAAGTACAACCCCAAGTGTAACAGTTTTTTGCTAACAACATTACACTAACAGTACAAGATTCAAAAATTTAAAAGGTGAAACCAAACCATTACTAAACAGAAAATACCAAAAACAAAAAAAAAAAAAAAAGCAATTGCAAATCTCATTTGTTACTGTCCCAGTTCTTAGTCTATATTGACGACACCGTCCTGTCCAAATAAATGAACGCCACAACCATGCTCCACCACAACAGGTTACTGCATTTATGCACGTTTCCCTTTAAGCCAATTGACAATGTAATCCAAGGAGAGGTCCATAATTAGGTCATGGTTATCGTGTGAATCCATAAGTGTGCAAGCAAATGTGAATAACGGACCACTGCCCTATAACCCAGGCACTGTCATCAGCCTGGCAAGATAGTCCCCGACAGTGTTTTCGCCCTTCCTTGTAACAACGTACTGTGTTATTTTCAGTTCCATATTTTGTCTACTAACGACCTCGACAAGGTTGTCCATGCTACTTGCCACAGTACCAAGGGTTGCCCACTTGCGACATTTGGCATTGGCTGAGCCATCTGCGGTGGAATGCGGTGGAGCATCGTCAAACAGCGAACAGTTCACCACGTTCTCGCCGACACGATCTAGCACATCATGTAGTGGTGTGCCATCACTGAGAGGCCCCATGCCGCTATCAGGGGTTGCAGCATTGTCACCGGTTGCATCAGCTTCGTGGATTTCAGATGGCGTCCATGCATGTTTTCCCATTGCAGCAGCATCCACAAACACCCTTTCCATAAGATCCAAGTGCTCTAGTGGCTTTGTCTTGAACTTTGCACATCGGTGGTTCATCTGAGGCAATAAATGTATAACAAGAAAAAACACTGAAATTTACGTCTACCTAACACAATCTGCCATACAATGCCTCGAAAGGCGCCATACCAATACTCGAATGGTAGCTGTTGTTGTAGGCGAATTCAACTAATGGTAGATGACTTTCTCAATCTCCCTGAAAATCAAGGACACACATTCTCAGTAAATCTTCCAGAGTTTGGATGGTCCTTTCTGATTGTCCATCTGTCTGAGGATGATAGGCACTACTCAGCCTCAATTCCGTACCCAATGCAGTCTGTAGACTTTGCCAAAATCTCGATGTAAACTTCGAATCCCTGTCAGAAACAATAGACACAGGCACTCCATGCAGTGTCACAATTTCATCAATATAGATAACAGCCAGTTTGTCCGCATTATAGATTGTCTTGACAGGTAAGAAATGAGCAGATTTGGTTAGTCTATCAATAATAACCCAAATTGAATCCATACCTTTTCTGGAGCGAGGTAACCCAACGATGAAGTCCATCGTGATATGCTCTCATTTCCACTCTGGTATGGGTAGGGGTTGCAATAACCTGGCAGGTCGTTGATGTTCAGCTTTGACTTGTTGGCAATGAAGACATTTGGACACAAAGTCGGCAATTTCTTTCTTCATTCCCGGCCACCAGAAATTCTGTTTCAGATCTTGGTACATTTTCGTATTCCCCGGGTGGATAGACAATTTTGAATTGTGGCCCTCTTGCAGAACTCTTCTTTTCAGTTCAGTATCATTCGGTACACACAGTCTTTCTTGAAATTTCAGTGCATTGTTCTCGAATTCAAAATCCGGTCTCGGCTTCGACTCTCTTTCTTCGATGATCTTTTTCAAGAAGTCATCATGTTGCTGTTTCTCCTTAATTTCTTCTATCAAGGCTGGTTGAGCAGAAATAACGGCTAGCATTCCACCTTGTTCTCTCATAACAACTTCAATTTCAAATTTTTCAAGGTCACCAAGCAGCTCTTTCTGTCCGGTGAGCAAACAAGCTAAGTTGGCAATTGACTTTCGGCTCAATGCATCAGCGACAGTATTGGCTTTTCCCGGATGATACAGAATCTGTAGGTCGTAGTGTTTGATCAGTTCTAGCCATCTGTGCTGTCTCATATTTAGTTCCTTCTATGTGAAGAAATATTTTAAGCTCTTGTGGTCGGTGTATACTTCACATGTCACCCCGTACAGATAGTGACGCCAAATTTTCAGTGCAAATACTACGGCAGCAAGTTCCAAATCATGGGTCGGGTAGTTCTTTTCGCGCGGTCTCAACTGTCGGGAAGCATAAGCAATAACTCTCCCATTCTGCATTAACACACACCCTAAACCCTTATGAGAAGCGTCACTAAATACAGTATAACCAACCGTACCTGAAGGTAAGGTAAAAACCGGTGTAGTCACTAATCGAGTTTTCAACTCCTGGAAAGCAGATTCTCTTTGGTCAGTCCAGTCAAATGACATCCCCTTTTGAGTCAGTTGAGTCAACGGTAAAGCAATTTTGGAGAAATCTCTGACAAATCTTCTGTAATATCCAGCCAATCCCAAAAAGCTTCGGACTTCAGTCACGTTTGTTGGTCTAGGCCAGTTCGCTATAGCTTTAATTTTCTGCGGATCAACAGAAATTCCATTTTTGCTAACAACATGCCCCAAAAACATAACATAGTCAAGCCAAAATTCACATTTAGACAGTTTAGCATACAGTTTCTGTTCTCTTAGGGTCTGCAGGGTAAGTCTCAGATGATGTTCATATTGGTCTATACTCTTGGAGTAAATCAATATGTCATCAATAAATACTACAATGAAGTCATCAAGGTATGGTTTAAAAATTCTGTTCATGAGGTCCATAAATGCAGCTGGTGCATTCGTGACTCCGAAAGGCATAACTAAAAATTCATAATGGCCATACCTCGTTCTAAAAGCAGTTTTATCAATGTCTTCCGGTTTAACCTTTAGTTGATGATACCCCGATCTGAGATCAATCTTAGAAAACACTCGTGCACCCTGTAACTAATGAAATAAATCATCAATGCGTGGTAATGGGTATTTATTTTTCACAGTTACCTTGTTCAATTCACGGTAATCAATGCACAGTCTCAGCGAGCCATCTTTCTTCTTTACAAACAAAACGGGCGCACCCCATGGTGAGGTACTGGGTCTGATGAACTTTTTGTCTAACAGTTCTTGCAGTTGCACTTTCAGTTCTTTCAATTCAGTTGGAGCCATTCGGTACGGAGCTTTAGAAACCGGCTGTGTTCCGGGAACCACATCAACAGTAAACTCAATCTCCCGGTCGATCAAATCTCCTGGCAAATTGTCTGGAAAGACATCTGGGAATTCTCTGACTATAGGAATACAGTTCACATTAGCATTATCATCAGTAGATACAGTCAGTACAGAACACAGATATCCCTTACAGCCCTTTCTAATCAGTTTAACAGCTTTCACAGATGAAATCAGATACGGGGGAGGTACTACTCCAACCCCATTAAACACAAATTCAAGCAAACCAGGTGGACGGAAAACAACTTGCTTGGTCACACAATCAATAGTGGCATGATATTTTTGTAACCAATCCATCCCCAATATTACATCAAAATGATCAATGTTCAATGGCAGTAAATCAATAAACAGATGAATATCCCCAACAATAATTTCACATGCGGGGTACATATAAGCACATGTCATAGATCCCCCTATGGGTGATGATACGGCTAGCAAA